AGTAAGATGCCTATTATGGCGAGTGGCTCATGAAAGCTTGGTAACAAATGATTGGCGCAGTAGGAGGGGCCTAACAACTGATCCACTCTGTCCTATTTGTAAAAGAGAAAGGGAAACAACTCTACGTGTACTACGTGACTGCCTTTTTGCAAAGTCCATCTGGTTATCTCTTTATAACGACACCCCTGGGTTTGACCTTATCTCAAACTCTATTCTTGATTGGTTGGAACATAACCTATCAGGAGGAAAAAAAGGTTGATCTATCACCTTTGCACTGACTCTAGACGCTATTTGGAAGGCTCGCAACACCTTTGTCTTTCAACAATCCCAGCTTAATACAACTCTTCTGTTGGGTGAAATCCGGGGTCGAAGTCGTGAGCTATCAAATAGATATAGCCTGTTAGCTAATCGTGGTGTCCCTCCTCCTCAGTCAATCCTATATATTGGGTGGAAGGCGCCTCTCCAAGGTTACTTAAAGCTTAATTGTGACGGGGCAGTCAATACATCTCGGGTTGCCTCCTGTGGTGGGGTGCTGCATGATAACCAGGGTAATTTCATGTTAGGATTCTCCTATCGGATTGGGGTTTGCTCCATCCTTCATGCTGAACTTTGGGGCATATTCTATGGTTTAAAGATCCTCAGAGGTAGAGGCCGATGTGATAACATTATTATCGAGTCTGACTCAATCAATGCAGTTCAATTTTTAAATAAAGGATGTCCTAGATTTCACCTTTGTTACGGTTTGACCAATCAAGTGGTTAAGATGGTTGAAGATTTTAACATTATTGAGTGTACTCATATTTTAAGGGAGGGTAATCAGGTAGCAGACAGTTTTGCCAAGAGAAGGCTCTCTCTACCAGAAGGAGTTCACGTTTTCGATTCTCCCCTGTTGTGGTGTGCTTCCTTTTTATTTGCAGATGAATCTGGTGTAACATTTCCTCGTGATTGCTAGTTTTCTAATCTTTTGTTAGCTTTTTCCTTGGGCTTTTAGCCCCCCCATGAATAAAAAAAAAAGGTTTGCATTCAATTAAAATAGAAGTTTTTGAATTATTTTATGCATTTATCAAGCAACGTCATTATAACTCAAAAAAAACTTTTAGTAATATTTAAAAAAATATTATCTAATTGTGTATAAATGTTACTAGTTTACTTTGACAACATATTATCAAATGTTATATATAATCTATATTATTAAAGATTTTTAATAACATTTTTTCATAATTAGATAATATTTTCCAAATTAAAGTAGTATTTTTGTAACATTTTAATGATATTATTGCTAAGTTTTTTTGTTAAATTTATAAAATAATAATTAATTTTAATTTAGATATTACTATATGAATTATTATATTTTTATGCATTCTAAACTCCGGGGTTTTTTAAGAGAAGACTAAAGATATTTTCAATTAGTAACCACTAATTATAAATCAAATATCAAAATTCATTTATCTTAAATATAACTATATGATTATATATATTCTTTATGAGTCATTCATCTATTCGATATAGGACTTTAATTATGAGTGATAATTAGTGACGAGAGAAATATACTTTTTTTTACTCAATGTGAGACTTTAATTTTAGAAGCAATTATAGTAACATTTTAAAAAAAATGTTGCAAAATAACCTATGTGACATTTTTTTACTTGATATGAGACTTTGATTTTGAAAACATCTAAAAAGAATAATATTGAAATAAAAAAAATGTTACTCTATTGATAATGACATTTTTTAAAAAAATATTGTAAAATAACAAATTTATTCAATATATAGTAACATTTTAACAAATAAAAAAATAATATTGTTCAAGAATTAAAATATAATAGTGCATAATAAAGAATCGTGAAATAAAGGGACTACTACCATTACTTTCATAACAAAAATTTTATAATTAATTTATATTTTATATTTATTACGTAATTTTGTGAAGGAAAAGAGATAAACGATATATATGATTTTACTAAAAATCTTAAAAAATATTGATAATAAACTTTAATATTATATAAAATCGTATTTTATCTTAATCTATATATATAACTTTGTATATTTTATTTATTTGAAAATAAATTATATCATTTTCAAATTGAAAAAGACATTTGTTCTTTAAATATGTATAAATTTATCTTTTTAATTAAATATTAATAGGTTTAAATAATTTATATTTTTATATTTTATTTAATAAAAATATTTTAAAAAGTTATTATGTTTATTAAATTAATTATTATTATTATATTTATCTTCAATATATAAAAATAATTAATTTTTAATATTATTTTTTATTATTTAAAATTTTAAAGATAAAATTATTTAAAAATATACATACATCAAATAAAATTTTCATCTTGATATGCGTTATAGATATTATTCGTAGAGCACAAAGTTTCTCTGCTCTGACCTTAACATATAGATATAGGTACAGCGAGGTTCATGATGGGCTGAAAAATAATAAAACGCGAGTCATTCCAAAAGATGATACCCTGGAACCTCCCAAGGGTTAGGCGGGTAACAAATCACGTGCTAAGGAGTCTTAGTTGGAAAATTGTAGACGCACATGATATATGTATAAACTTATGCTTATTGGACAAGGAAAAATTATAAATAAATTTTTTATAAATAAAAACTGATTTATACATAAGTTAAAAATAAATTTTAAAATTTTAATTAATTTTTTATTAAATTAATATATGTATAAACTAATTTTAATTTATACATATATTTATTTTATGTTTCTTCTTTTAATTTGTTACCGAATGAATTTACTTAAACAGAATATAATATATTATCTTGTTAGCTAATGGCTTCAAGCTAGATGAAAAAAAAAATTGATAAAATAATGAATATTATTTTAAATTTATTTTTACTGAAACTTAGTCATAAAATATAATTCTTTTGCCATAATAAACTAATATATTTCGTATGTTAAGATGAAATTAGTATCTTGGTAGTTGGTATAGTTAATTCCCCCCTGGGATTAAAGGCAGTTTGTCCCTTTCACGTAAAAAAAAAAAGAAAAAAGAAAAAAGATCTTGGTATAGTTTATTATGAAATGTGTTATAAAATATTTTATTTTTCAATTTACAACTTAATGAAACCCGAGGTTGGATCTATGCAAAAAAAATCGGTTAAATTAAAATACTAGTTGAAGTTTGTGTCAAGTTAAACCTTCCCATGTGTGCTATATAATTATATATTTTGATTTTTTTTATAACATATTTTATGTTATTATTAATTTACCTTGAGGAAATGAAAGAAAATATCAAGAAAGATATATAATTTTATTTATGTATTATTCAATTCAAAATTTATAATTATATTACTTAATTTATTTATTCTTGTTTTGGTTTGAAAAATATACTAGGATTATAACTTTGACGACTCATATGTTAAATTGTCGCATCAATGAAATAATAAATATATATACATACCGCAAAAATCACATACAACCAACTACACTAGGATCACATGCATCAATTCTTGGATATTCATATAGCACTTGTATATATTTAATTAGTATAGGAAAACAAAACAAAGCCTACTCACACACATCTCTTTATATATGGGTGTACACAAACTTAAAATACATCACATATTTTAGTGATATTGGTTACTTCATACAATAATGACTTTACCTGGTCCCCATATTGTATAAACTAAACAAAGAAATTAGAGGAGTCATCAAACAATCAAAATTATAGTCTCAATAGACTCTTTTATCCACAATTGGACAATCTACAACATGCATGTAAAATTACATACATAACAATATGATCATAAACATGATAAACATGCAAACATCAAAACCACAATATTATAATAACTAAAGTAAGAATACTTAAAAATATAATATGTCTATTAGATTAAAATTTTGCATTCGTCTCAATAATCAGATTAATTTTGGCTATCCTCAAACATGATCAATCAATCATATACCAAGTACGAGGGATTGGATTAATACCTTTTACCTCTTATTCCTAGTCGAATTGGTTTCCTTTTTTTCACAATTGAATCGCTCTATGACCAGTCTATTGGCTTGATTAGTTTTTCTAACTAAGCAAACCTATGTTAGGATATATCTGGGGTCATACTAAGTCGATGTTGGCATATATCTGGGATGGTGCATTTGTCCACTAGTCCCAAATCTAAAAGACATAGAGGTTAGTGTAGAGCATCCTCAGACAACTCATCCATGTGGGTGTGACTATATTGAAATACTGTGGAACGCTACACTTGTCTTTCAATCCCAAACCTAAAAGACATAGGGGTTAGTGTGGAGTGTCTCTGTACAACTTGTCCATATATTGGTGTGGCCATATCAAAATATATCCAAGACAATACACTTCTAAACCAAATGAATTTTTATATTTTTGGTAATTGTATAATAATTATAGAAAAATGAGGAGGGATCATTTTACTCCAGGAATAAGTCTACATTAACTTACTCTGTTCAATAACTCATGTTCTACGTCAAATTTCAACAATCCAACCGTTCAATTTAGATTTCTGGATGCATAGATCAAATCTGCAAATTTTTTAAAAAATTTGAAAATTATTTGATACTTCGTTTCATTAATTCGAATCAATGTATAAAAAATTTTATGATTATCCGTCAATTTGAATTAATGAAATGAATTATAAAATAATTTTTAAATTTTATAAAAATTTACAGATTTGATCTATGCATTAAGAACTTTAAATTGAACGATTGGATCGTTGAAATTTGATATAAAACATGATTTATTAAATAGAGTAAATCTAGATAAATTTATTAATAAATAAATCTCTCCACCAGAAAAATTATAAAAATAAAAGTCTTAGTCAAAAAGCGGACTTCGACTTACTTGTTATATATTGAAGCCCACTGTGGGTATCAAAATTCTACTTCCCTTTCCCCGCCACCTGTTAAGTACGACTTTAGTTTTCATTATTCAACAAAGTCCAACTTGAGATGGTGGATTCCATGAAGATGCCCTTATCTGTTCCAATTATTAAAGGAACCATCCTCCCCTTCTCTTTTTATTCATCCATCATCTCCATTTTTTAACTATTTTATTCTCTCTTCATTTCCATTACTTCAATGGCAACCGAAAAGGTGGTAGTGAAAGAGCTTCTTCCACTTATAAGAGTCTACAGCGATGGTTCCGTGGACCGTCTCTTAAGTTCTCCAAACGTGCCACCCTCCCTTGAAGACCCCGAAACAGGAGTCTCATCCAAAGACATCGTCATCGCAGACAACCCTTTTCTCTCTGCTCGCATATTCCTTCCAAAGTCCCACAAAAACTCCACCCACAAACTTCCCATCTTCGTTTACTTCCACGGTGGCGCTTTCTGCGTTGAATCTGCTTTTTCCTTTTACGTCCATCGTTATCTCAACATCTTAGCCTCCGAAGCAAACATAATAGCCATCTCCATTGACTTCAGACTCCTCCCACACCACCCTCTTCCCGCGGCCTACCAAGATGGCTGGACCGCGCTACAGTGGATTGCTTCCCATGCCGCCAACAGTGCCAGTGCCACCAACCCCGAGCCATGGTTGGTCAACCACGCTGACTTCACCAAACTCTACGTAGGAGGTGACACCAACGGCGCTAACATTGCACACAACTTGCTGATACGTGCAGGCACAGAGACTCTGCATGGAGATCTCCAAATATTAGGTGGATTACTCTGCTGTCCCTTCTTCTGGGGCTCCAAGCCCATTGGGTCAGAGCCCGTTGAAGAGCACCACCAGAGTTTGGCCATTAAGGTGTGGAGCTTCGTGTATCCCGATGCAGCTGGTGGAATCGATAACCCGAGTATTAACCCTTGTGTTCCCGGGGCACCCTCTTTGGCCACACTTGGGTGCTCTAAGTTGCTTGTTACTATTACTGGGAAGGACGAGTTTAGAGACAGGGATATTCTGTATTACGAGAGCGTTAAGAAAAGTGGGTGGAAAGGTGAAGTTGAACTGTTCGATGCTGGCGATGAGGCGCATGCTTTCCAGATGTTCAAGCCTGAAACTGATCTTGCTAAGGCAATGATCAAACGCTTGGCTTCTTTTCTTGTATGACTGTTCTTCTCCCTTCTTCGTGAAGCGTTAGGATTCATCATAGTCAAAAAAATGATGATGATATTAGACACGATAGATATGAGAGCTTCAGAAATAAAAAGGGTGGGTCGACTTGTTTTTTTTCTCTAGTTTGATATTGAATTTTACCATTTTTAAATTATTGTATTGTTTACTCGTTTGCAACTTTGTATCTTTAAAGAAATAATTTTTTTTTTTTTGAAGGATAACCCCTCCATGTTTTGCCATGATCATGAATATAACGGTAGGTGGTTAAAGAAAAATAAGTAAAATCTTAATTAATATGAGAAAATGCATGTATTTTTTTTTCATGTTTATTGTGAATGATTAAAATGAAATTTTGAATAATATATATTAACTCCTATTTATATGAGAAAATGTTTTTTTTATGGTACGTACTAATAGATAGACCTGGACGGATATAATATTAGAATGATTAATATTTTTAATTTTAGTATATAATTAAATAAGAAATTTGTTGTTTAACAAAATTAAATAATGAAACATAAATTTTTTTAGGTATTATTGAAGTGCTTTTAATTTTTTTTTATTTTAAAAAAGAAAAAACTAAGTACTGCATTAAACATTATAATTTTAATTATATTAAAAATATATAAAATTTTGGTTAATACTAATGGTAAGTTTAAATATGGTTTTTGTCCTTAGTATATTTTTTTTTGTTTTCTGTAATTATTTTTCAAAATTATAAATTCAAATATTCCATTTTTAATTTTTAATTTATGTCTTCATACACCACTTCAAAAATGTTAAATTGTTAGCATCATCCCATGTCATATCACTAAAAAAACTTCATCATGTATTACGTACATTAATAAAATATCTATTATTTTGTGCCATATTAGGATATATACAGACATTTTTTATCTAATCAAAGGATGAATAATGAACATTATAAATATTTTCTTTTGTTCATAAACATAATTTATAAAATTAACTATTAATAATTAATTTATAATCAATTCTGACATTCAAACATTATTTTATCATTAATATGAACCAATTTTGAAAGCACCGTATAAGCACCGGAGAATATCATAGTTTGAACTATATGGATATCCCTGGTTAATAAAAATAGTCGAATCATAATTAACATGAAAGATATATTTAATATGTTGTCACATCCATATTATACTTTATTATTAATGGATGGTTCTCAGATCGTGAGATAGCTCTGTTGCCGTCAATCTCAAACGCGTTCCCTTGGGGTTGATTTTGGTGATTTAAACTTGAGAAAGAGCTTTTTCATTTGGAGTTGATTTTTTCTGTTCAGGGTTCTCTTTAAACGAGGTTTAATTATTCATATAACATATGATTTTATTTCATATTATTTCTGAAATGTAACAAGACTTATAGAAATCTTGCAGACGTGCGACAATATATTTAGAAATATGGAATAAGTTGAGTGGTTAATTGCATGTTAGTCAAACAAGGAAAGAAGCCAAGCGTGTGATCATAGAGTTGGCATTCTGAGTGTGAGTGTTGTAAATGTGAAAAGCATGATCTTCGTCTTCAAGCTCAAACACTTCCACTTGACCTTGCCACCCACTGTTGTTCACAGCCTCGTAGTACCAAACTCCTCTGTCCCTAAGCGCATCTTTTCCGGCAACACAAACAAGTAACTTGGAGCACCCAAGCGAGGCCAAGCTGGGAGCATCAGGAGCTAAAGGATTAATGGCAGGGTCATCGGTCCCACCCGCCGCACAAGGGTACACAAAGTTCCAAACCCGAGCATGCAAGTGCGTGGCACCCTCGTTTGGTTCAGACCCAATGGGTGTGGAACCCCAAAAGTAAGGATCTCTGTTTCTATCTCTTTTTCTGTTGCCGACGCCATTCAGGGGAAAGAGGAGATTCGATTTCTACACGCTGCAGAGAAGATGACGAACAAGGATGAGAAACCATCAACTTTCCTCGATCCCCTGTTTCCCTAGTTTAAATACACCAAAAATTTGGGAAAAATATTATTTTACACGGCCTGAAAAGGAAAAGAAAAACAAGAGATACTTAATCACTTGTGAAAAAAAAAATACAAAGTAAAAGAGTTAAAGAGTTGTTCCATTTATTTAGGTGGCTAAAATAGATAATATAAATAAACCAAATTTTAAATATTTGTTTTTATTTAATTATTCTTTGATTTTTATAATTTTATGTATTTTATTTTTCTAATCTTTAAAATTTGAGATATTTCACTTTAATTCCTATACATATAATATATTCTTATCTTTATAATTTAATAATTTATATTTTTTAGTCCTTATAATAATAAATGGCTTAGACTAAAGCAATAAAATAATGTATATAAATATTAAAATATAAAATATTATTAATTATAGAAATTAAAAGATAAAATGTGTGAAACTATAGAAAAAAAATATTCATTTTAATAGTTGAAAAAATTGTATTTCAATAATTTAGAAAATGAATATAAAATTTTATATAAATTGATTTAAATTGTGAATCCAGGTGGATCAGATGTACCTACCGTAGTTAGTCCAAGTCAAGGTGTCGTAGTTTGACTGTGTTAAACAAAGTGAGTGGGAATATTTTATCTAAAACTAGAATCCACTTTATAAGTGGACCTAGTGGAGGGAGACAGACACAGCCCACCTGCCCGTATAAAATATAATAAATGACAATTACTATATCTTCCCAAAAAGTAAATATCCAAAAGAGTCTCTCAAAAACTTCAAAATATTTTCACAGCTTTCAATAAATTTATTATAAAATAATTATTTAACTTAATATTTTTTAATTTAAATTATTTTTTTAATAATTCAAAGCAACTTTCGAAACGTTATTTTAGAGGATCTAACATATTTCATAATAAAAATTAGGTTAAACACGTGGTTTTTACTTTAAATTTAATTAATTAAAAATGTATGCAATTTAATGATTAAGGAGTAGTTGGTGATCTTAAATGATAAAAAAAAATCAAAAAGGAATAAATAAGAGTTAATCATCTATATATTGTCAGTGTAAAGTTTTTTTACACTAGCAACCAATTATATCTTTTAATTGTGTCATATTACTGTTAAAAGTAAATGTGTTTATAGTGAGATGACACAATTAAGAGATATAATTGGTTGTCAATGTAAAAAAACTTTACGTCAGGGTATATGTGATTAACTCAATAAATAATTATGTCTAATCAAAGTTTTGCAACATACTTATAAGTTATAACCCTACTAAATTTGGTACTCCTTCCGTTTTTTTCCCATAATCGTTTACTTTGTTTTTTTTTCATTGTCATTTTATTAAAATTAATGACATTAATTTTTTTTTCATTTTTACCCTTAATAATTAATATATGTTTACTGAACAATGTGTCTATTTATTTCTAATGTCTACCTATTTTTTTCCAACCACTTATGTGATTAAATGGAGTAGGTTGTTGTTTACATGTGTATTCTAATAATTAATGCATTAATTCATGGACAAGTGTGATTAAAGAGAGTAGGTTACAATTCACATGTGTATTTTAATAATCAATGTATTAATTCATAGACTTCTCAAAAGGTGCATAACAATAATAAGTGCATACAAATCAACACTCTTAAGACTTGAATGCAAAAAAAAATAAAATAAAGAGTATAATAAGAAAGTAAGTAATAAATATTTTTAAAAACTAAAATATATCAATTATTTCCTTAAGTTTCGTACAAAATCTTAAACGACTATGAAAATAAAGGGAGTATGTACATATTTAAATAAATTTCTCCCTATATATATTAAGAAGAAAAAAAATTTAGCTATACATACACATGGTTAAAAAAAAATATTTTTTTCAAGAAGTATATGAATTTGACCCTAAAAGTTTCCATCCCTAATGATAATTAGGATAAAACCAATCCTTTTACTAAGCAAATTCTAGAAGAAGAAAAAAATTCTTTAAATTGATTTTAGATCAAAACTTATTTTAGTTGTTAATAATCACTCATTACATGAAAATTTGATGCTTTCTCGATCAAAACTCATTGATAACAACAAATATCAATCGATAGTTATAACTATTCACAACCAATCTTTAATTCAATTCCTACAAAAAAAATAAAAATAAACATGTTGTACAATAAATTTTTGTGATGTACTAAATTAGTTCACAACTAATATTTATTTCAAGTTATCAAGTTTTATTTTTGAAAATAAAATGACGAGAATGACTTTTTAGGTATTATAAAGAATAAGTTTGGTTAATGTTGAATATATTGTTATTAAAGTGGAAGTGCGGAGGAAGTTAAAAAAAAAAATATATATATATATATATATATATATATATAATGTTATTTCCACATCATTAGAACAAATACAATCTAAGTTGTTTTTTTAGAAGCAAAATATAGAACTAATGGTGGTTGGAAGGTAAAAGAAAATGCAACAAATTAAATCTCAAAATTCCACGGTTTTCAAATCAATGGATGAATTATTTTTTTTTTTCTTTCCATAATTTCATTTAAAACCCACAATGTTTGAGGTAATTAATTTGGATTTTATTTCACACAGTGATCTAAACAAAAACAAAGTATAGTTAGTTGCATAATATATTAATGTATTGTTGATTTTTAACCAAAAAAATTCCAATGATAATGTACGGGAAGTGTAAAAATTTTACGCAATTAACTAATAAAAATTACATTTTATATAATCTTAAGATATTTATTATAAATATTAATAAATGTTTTTATTTATAATAAAATTATAATTAGATAATTGTGTAACTTTATGTAACAATCATCATATTTGTTATCACAGCGGTTTCACTTCACAATATTTCACACGATGACACTTTACACAATTTTTCAATGATCAAAACTTTTCATCAGAAAATAATCCTTTCTAAGATGTTTGTCCACTTTTAAGATGAAAAGTTCTTATGAAATAAATTACCGAAAAATAGATGCATCTTGTTGATATAGGTAGTACAAATTAATTTTCTTAAGTCATTTTTAACTATACAATCTCATATTTATACAATTTTTCTCATTCTTGTGTGTCTAGATCGTTACAATTTACACTATTATATTACCACTAGTATCCACTAATAGATAACTATGATGATAAAAATTAAAATATCAAAACTATCAAATTAATGATTTTAACATGTAAGTTTTTAACATTAAATAGTCTTAATTAGAAATAGCAAGCGATGATCATAGGAAATAGGACTAATTATATATATAAAATTATTTTTTAGATACTCATATAAGACTATATAACACTTAAATAGCAATCATGGTATGCCGCAGGAAGAGCCCTGTACAACATTCGCTGCGGAGACTAACAAGTTCAACAAAAATGTTATATCCTCAATGCATCTTCCCAATGATCTTCCCACTAATTAAAAAGTTTTTTCTTTTTAATTAAAAAATTATAAATGTCAATCGTAATTAATTTGGAAGTATTTTGTGTCAAAACTTGGGAGGATGTATCATTGCTCTTCGCAACTTGTAAGTTGTAATCCAAGATTCACAAAGCAAATTCCAATAAGGACGCCACTGTGCTGCATAATACTAACGTCAAGATTCCATTCAAATAATGCATAGAAATTTCTTTTCTTAATAGTTTATAGAAATTTTATTCGTCAAATATTTTATGATGAACTTATTATTTTTTTATCATTTTCTTTCTTTTATATTTGAACCATTTGATAATGATGTGAAAGAGAAAACAAAATAAAAAGGGATTATTTTAGATGAAATAATTAATTTGCTTTAGTTATGGTCCAACCGTCAAAAAGGACCTAGAATATGCACAAAATATTAACTTGCTTTAGTTATGTAGTATTTGTTATTGGAGAGCTCAACCATTTGTTGTTTGGTGCATTATTTAATCCAGATATATATATATATGGATTTGTTGTTTGATGCATTATTTAAACCTATTTCCGTGATGGTTTGCAGAATGGTGGGAATTCTTTGGATCGATTCAAAATATCCTTCCCCCAGACATTAAGGAAGGATACAATCAATTCAAAGCAAGATTTGAAGAAGGAACCAACCCGTTCTACCCATCTCTTCATTTCTTCTCCAAATTTTCATTAGCTTAGATTTTTGTCTGGCAACATCAGTTCAAGTAAACCTCCAAGCTCCTCCCAATCTTAGGCAAGCAAGCCTCGGTTAAATGGTGGGACCAGTTTGATGCTTCCCGAGCAAACACTCAGGGAGTGGCACTTTGGTTCCAAAAGAATCCAAAGAATCTTAAGGCCGCTGATCCAGAAACCTGCCAGTTTCTTAATCGAAAGGCTAAAATCGCAGCTGCCCTTGCAGCGTCAACAAATGATGAAGTTTTAACTGCAAATCTTCATCAGATCCTTGATCTACTCCAGACAGACTCAGAATCAAGTTCGTCAAAAGGAAAAGCAAAGAAAGAAGTCTCTTCCCCATCTTCTTCATCCGGATCATACTTCCAGAATGAAGACGATTGCTTCGGAATTAATCTTGACCAAGCATCCGAAGAGGACTAATCTTTATCAATCATCAATAAAAATTTGTAGTAATCATGATAATCTTATACCCAGGTGGTCATATTAACATTCAATTTCAGGATTTCCCTGTACCACAGGTAGTCATCGCCATCTACCGATATTACTCCAGTCCAGAAGTCCACATAGACGTCTACCCAATCTGAAGACATCAACAGTTCCAGTCATTACTGCTCATTTTGCGAAAGTGTACTGTTCACTGTAATTCACTGTAGCGGAAAATTTCATTTTACTGTTGAAATAGTAATCACTGTTGTAATAGTAAATTTAGTTTTCCTATTTATTCCAATCTCTGCCCATGATGTTAGGCAGAACTTGTAAGTGAAAAACACCTTCGTGTAAGAGAGCCTAGAGTGAGAAGCTCATCCTTCTCTCTTGCCTTTGTATTTCTTATTCAATCAATACAACTCTTTTGTATTAAATCTCTATTCTTTCTTGCATTACATTTCTGCATCATAAAGTTTGTGAAAACCTGGGATTTGTATGTAAATCTGGTTTACTGCTGCATCTGCTCATTCCTTCTTCCTTTTCTTCCTTGATCCACTTCAGGGACTTCTGGTATATATATATATATTTTTTTTTTTTACAAAAAGTTATAACACATGTGCCTTTGTGGGATACAATCAGATTTTTTTTGGATTATGGGAGATATTGATTAAAAGTAATTTTTAATATTTTTAACATTAAGAATATATATGTTCGACATTAATTTTATGGATTTTTTTTTCTAATGAGTTTCTATACTATAAAATTCAATTTATAGATAAGAGGTACAAAAATTCTTCTTTAATATATAAACATTTCTTTAAAAAAAATTGAAAGTTTTAAATTTGTGATAAGCTATATTTGAGATAATTTAAATAAATTTTTGGAAGATTTTTTTCAAATCAATTATCACAATTCTATGTACTTCTAAAAATATAAAATTAAATAAAGTTAAAATTATAATGAATATAAATATTTTTCATATTTTTATCCCTTTGTCATTTTCTTTTTTTATTTTTTCTATTTATTTTTTAATATTAATTATTATCTATTTAAATTTTATCATGATCTCAATTATATTACTAGTAGAATATCAAAATAATCCGCGCATAACACAAACACCTTCTACTTTTTTTTTTTTGAGAGGAACAAATACCTTTTACTTATTCTAAAATTAACTTTTTTTATTTAATTAATTAATGTTTTAAAAAATTAAGAAGAAAGATAAAAGTGCGCGCACTTTTTTTCCAGCTAAATCCAAATCTAAATTATTATACTACCCGCACTTTATTGTAAGACCCATTAAATTAAATTACACCTTGTAAGAAATTTGATTAATATAGTTAATAAAATTACATGTGTAAATAATTTAAGTTACTATTCTAAAATTAACTTTTTCTTTTTTTCATTAATTAAACCGATGAGATATCATACTGCGACCGAAGACACGTGTGTGAAGCATATATAGCCACATAGCATAATGATGATATCAATATGACGTAGGGGACTTTAATTATGAAAAATAATAGAACCTTCGAATGTACCAAAAATCATTTCAAATAACTAAAATAATAATTTAAATTATAAAATATTAAATTAAATAATTGTTTTATAATAAATTTATTAAAAAATATTAATATTTTAATATTTAAAACGTGATTCAAATACGATTTCAAAACGTATATCATTGCTCTTTAATTATATACAGTCAAATATGCATTTCTCCTCACCCTTGATCTTAAGAAAATTTCATAATGGCGTAACTATAAAAGTAGGAATATATATCTATCTAATACGTAGTATCTAGTTTTCTTTCATTTCTTTTTTTATGTATCTATTTTTATCATATTATCAAGAGTAAGACCAAAGACTCTTTTTAAAAATTATATTTTATATTAATATTATATAATTTTTTTCAAATCTTTATAACTTCAAAATAATTTTTTTTATTCTTAAAAATTCATTTAAAATATTTATTTTAAAACATATATAAGTATAATTATTTTTCAATATTCATCTTTAAATTTTTTATTTTTATTAAAAATATTATTATTAATTTAAAAAAATTTCACTATAAATTTTACTTTAGACTTAATAAGATGTTGGTCCATATTATATGACCGACACATATAAAAGAGTTAATCATTCATACACTGGCAACCAATCATATATTTTATACTAGTAACTAATCATATATTTTAAAATTACTTATTTTATTATTATTTCATTAAATAAGCAACTGGCATGACACTATTAAAAGATATGATTGATTGTTATTGTAAAAAAAAAAATTATACTAATAGTGTATAGATGATTAACTTCATAAAAAATATTATAGTATTGTCAATGAAATTCGTTTACTCTAAATATTTTTATATGTTGAATGAAAAATTTATAAAATTAAAATTTAAAATGCGAGAGAGTTTTTAACTTACGTATTTTTTGTGTGGATTCAATTATGTCCCGCACAATAAAATAAGGGATTTAAATCCTAACATTTTGTTTACGTGAAATTGAATTTTAGATTTTTTAAATAAAGTTTCATGTTCAACTTTTATTAATAATTTTTTTAAGTTGTGTTAAAAGTCGATACAATTCTCCGATAGAAATTAATATAAATAAATAAATATTTTAAACTAATAATAACATGGTGAGTAAAAAAGTTTTTTTTTAGGTTCGTTCCTGAAGTATCCACCGCCGACAGCAGTGACTAATCTAGTCGCTACGTTGGAGGCACCTCAAAGGGTGAGATAGCCGGATTCGAACATCTGACCTTGCTTAAGCGTGGATCAACCCCTACCGCTGAACCACACGCTTGGGGTTGAGTAAAAAAAAAAAAAAAAATTAAATTATATCAATTGAATTCATTGATTTATTTTAAGGTATAATTATTTTTTTTATAATTCCTATGGTTTATTAATTGGAATTTAATAATGTCTTCATACTTTTAAAACTAATGAAATTTAGTCTACCATTTAATTTATGGTAAAATTTCTAATGGCTTTAAATGACATGAATTTTATTTAAACAATAATTTCGTTGGTGTAATCTAATAAAGATAAGGTGGACTGAAAATTAAAGGTATCAAAGTGAGATTTGATTTTGGCCTCACTATCCCTATCCCATACTGTAATAGTGTAATAGCATGCGCAAGACCACAAGAATATCAACTAGTTTTGTAAATGAAAAATATATTATATATAACTTAAACGTGTGAGAACTAAAAATGCACGTATTGTTATTTTTACTATATAAATAATATAATATTATAAAACCAAATAAAAATGACTTATAATTTAATACAATTTATTTTAATCATAAATTAATTATTTATTCCATATAAAATATTTTTTCTTTAATAAAATTGAGTTGTTTCATTTTTTATTTATTTACTCTCTTGATATACTAATTAGGTGCAAATTTTGATTAGTTAAAATTGTAACATGGTATATTTTATTAGTTGTTGATTTTTATTAAAATTTGTGTTGTGAATTTGTTATTAAATTATTGAGAAACTTTAAAATTAAGTAATCTCTTACGAGTTTTAGACATTTGGAAGGTTCAATTTGATCCAAAGGTGGAGTGGGGGAGGGGGGTATTTAAGATTTATTTTAAGAATTGAATTTCATAAGTTTAATTTTTAAGAATCCGAGATAAATAAGTTGGTGAGAAGTGCTTTGGATTTGAAGTTTCCTTCTACCTCTTCTAACCTTCTTGAGAGTGAGTGAATCCTTCCCTAGAGGTGGCTGACTTGTTGTGTTTGGATTCAAGGTGTTGGAGAGCCTTGAATCGAGTTGTGAGGACTGTGGTTCGATGTTGCCTCGAAGGTTATAAAACATGCCTGTGTTGATGATTGAATGATGAAATTCATATATTTAATAGTTTTTGAGTGTTTGAATATGTGCTTGGGGATGTGTTGAAGTGAATGACGGTAAAATTCTTGTTCCATGTTTAAATTCTGGTTGGATTTAAGCTATTTGAAGTGCCTATATGTGTTATGATATTTGCATGTTAGAAATCTTCTGAATTTCAATTAGTTTGAGCCAAATTTGTAGTCTACTAAGGGAAAACTCATAGTCGCACCAGGCACACCTTCATGACCTTGAGCGTGGTTTCACTTAAAGGTTCTCTGTCTTGCTCACGTCAAGGTAGGATTGGTGGCATCAAGTGTGAAAAAAGAGAATTGTCTCATGTTAAAATGACGTCGAGCATGGTTTGAACGACCCCCGAGTATAAGTGAGAGAATTGGTTATGCCTCGATTGGCATTCAGCGCCAAAGGAGTGGCACTAGACGTGAAAAGATAGAATCGTCTTGGGGTCAAACGTGGGATTTTGTCATGTTAGGTGCTAGAGACTAGGCATCTCTACCTACTTCACGCCAGGCGCAAGTTGTATGATGACAAGCGTGGGCAGAGGGTTGCTTGCCTCGATGGTGTCGAGCATAGGGTGGATAGTATCGAGCATGAGTTGCCTTAATTTAACTTGTTTTATGATGAAATTGATGAACACAAATAAGATAGTTGGATTTATTGTATATTCTATGATAATTAAGTTGTGTTATATGTTGTATATTGATGTATAACGTTGAATCTCTATACATTGATATAAAATACTATATAGTTGATTAAAATAGTTGAAAGTTAAGTTGATTTGCATGCCATTTATTTTAATAGTGACTACAATATATATATATATATATATATATATATATATATATATATATATA